CCCTGTTTAAAAAAAATATTATAATTTCTATAATATATATTACTAGTTAATAAGAGTATATAGTTAGTGTATACTAGTGTATATAAAATTAATACAGAAAAGAGAGGGAAAAGAAAGAAGTATAATAATAGTATAGTATATGTGTACTATTATTTAATATACACTATTTATATACCTATATTAGTATATCTTTTGTTAAAAGTAAGTACAAGGTGCTCTGCGTAGTGTTAATTATTTATGCGAACGTTGGGGAGCTTTTTTTCACGCCTCATTTTCGCTCGACGCAGCGAAAAAGCTGCGAGTTTCCGCTCGATCGGGTGAAATGGCTCGGATAATCTACGTGCAGGGAACCGTCGATACCGCGGCTCTCGCTTTCGGGCTCGTGGCGATGAAACGATGATTTACGCCCCCGCGGGACGGATTCGCGCTGACGGCGCGTTTCCGCCGAGAAACTTACCTTATGCGGCGCATCACCCCGCGCGCGGGGTTAGTGGGGGCGAGTGGGGCAAGGCGGGAGCGATACGGTCCAGGCGCACTGAATTGGAAGAGTCTGCGTCAGCTTCGTCCTAGCCGGTTAGTTTCCGGTTCCGCTTCTTGACGCCCGAGATATTACGTCGGCGAAACGACGAAAATATCGAATGTCGCTTTTCGCCTCCTCCTCCCCTTCTCTTCCCGCTCCTCGATGAACCCTCATCGTCGCTGTCCGATCATAGATAGCGGCGATTTCAATCCTTAATATTTTTGCACTGATGTAGATATATCGTCCTTTCCCGATATTGGTATTTCTTTCGAAGCATATAATCATTTTGTATATATATATATATATTCAAAATTTGATACATTTTGCAAAAATCTATCGGTTATATAGAGAAAAAAGGCAGAACTTGTTTAGAAAAAAAAAGATATGACATTTTTTAAATAAATAGAGAGAGAAAAAGTTCTCTCTCTGTGTAGCATCAATTATTTATAAATTTAAGACGCTGCAAAGCTAAGATCTAGCAATAAATTCTCGAGAGCGAGAATAGGACCGTATTTACGATGCGTGCGAGGGAATTTGGAGAATTATAATACAAAGGGATTTTCTCCAGCATCGCAGGAATGTAACGGAGAATCCTGTTCGAAATTTCACTTTATCCTCCCGATAAACGGACTCCTGATAGATGCACTTCCGTAGCAGCCAGAAATAAGAACAAGATTGCTCGCGCGAGCCATCGATCCGATTCTCGAGAGATATTCGATAGAGTTTAACGTTCCGGGTTTCTCGCAAGGAATTCAATTAACATAACAAATCGAGGCGCCAGGCACAATTGCGTGAAATTTCAAATAATTGCATGCTCTCCATTCTCCGATCAATTATTTGCGACGGTCTAAACATTTGCATACGTAAACATTGAAAATGTACATGGAAATGCGTATTATAAAGAAAACATTGATTTGTATGATATTTGGACATATTGAATAATTGAATTGCGTTATGCAATATGGAACCAGAGACATGTATTATAAATTGAAAAGCATTACTTTTATTGTGATTAACAGAGTCTGAAAATATAATAAAATACGATCTATTATTAGCTTTGATGTAACACAAGCAGAAATCAAGTAAAATATAGCTTCTATCTTTGTGATTAGAATCGAGATGTTAATTTTATATTATAAGAAAAGGAAAAAATTGTAATTGAAATTGAATATATAATATATAAAAAAATGAAAAATATTTTTTGCCACTTACTCAAAATTCGAACTATGTTATCATAAAACAGTATAATATCAGAATAATTACAAAACGCGCAAGCTACATTGAAAATGATATTAATAATAAATTGTCGGAAAATTTTTAGGCGATTATTTCCATCGATAAATAGTAGATAAAGATAATAATCTAATCTTCTGCTCGTGGTTTAATTCTTCGATGTAGAATTTGAAGAATATTCAACACGTCGGTCGTTTGCAACATGAAACTTTCGTGAGATTTCTGAGTAATTAGGATTGAACACAGTAGCGGCTACTTTACAGTCTAATTAGGGGCGATCAATCAACTAATGATAGCGCTCCGGGTATAGTTAATGCATTCATAAATCAACCGCGTACTGGACCCGATTTAACGGAGCCATGGGGAATTACATGCACTACTGTTTGTCATGAGCCTATTGCATTGTTTAACGCACATTGTATAACAGATCAGAATTCATGGGATTGTTGCAATATTTGTAACAAATTTGACAGTGTATTTATTCAGAAATATTGTCTTTTTTCTATTATCTGCAATGCAACTTGACTCGTAAAATTTTTAAAAAATTTCAAATAGTTAAGTATTTACATTTAATATTAGATATCTTTACAATGTGAAATCTTGAATAAAGTTTCTGTTAACGTAAAATCTGATTAAAATTTACTGAAAAACAAAATTTTTTTATTCACGTCGTAAAATCGTTTAATTCGCGTAAAATCTTTTAGCTTTCAATGTAAAATAATTTGATTATCAATGTCTTGGCATCTTGCAGCAGTAATTAATTTCTTTTACTTTTACATTAAAGTTTGTTCTATAGTATGATATTTATTAAAAAAACAACATCCAATGTTTCCGGTATCTCTGTATACGTACAATGAGACAAAATAATAATTATGCATGCAAGATTTTTGGCGGGTAATTATGGATTTAAAAAAATAAATAAATAATAAAATAAAACTGACCAGTTTAAAACTCTTTTACGTTGTACTTGCGACACTTTTCATTCCTCGGACATCCTCAACGAGAATCTCGCGAAACCAAAAATTATTTAAAGGATTAAATACAACGAAATTAAATTTGATCAAATCTTCCGTTACGACAGATCGCGAATTTCACGATAGCTCTTCTCGCGTAGAGAAGACGTTCGAAGGACGGAAAGGAAATTGCTCGTTCACGACAATGCGATCGGCGATCTTTGACGTGAAAGCGCGTGGCGGCATTATCGGCGATCTAACGGCACTGCCGACTTTCCCGGCGAGCTTGTTCAAAGGAATCGCGTGTCGCGACGGCGGCTTTTCCGTCGCCGTCAGCCTCGACGGAATCGGCCCAATTCCGCGACGAACGAGTATTATTCCGCTTGGTGGGTCCCGTTACGATTCTCTCCCTCGCGCCCTTTGACACCGCCGGAAATGGATGGCTGTATCGCTCCGAACGGTCGATTTTTCGCCAATTGAAAACGGATCCATGAGGGTAATACATTCTTTGATACTCTTCGTGAAATGTAATATCTTTGTTAAAAGACCGCTTGGACAGAAACGATTTTAGTGTCAGATAGTTCAAATCAGAATTAAGTGCCTGTTTTCCCTATCAAAAGAAAAAAAAAAAAAAAACGCATGGCGGTAATTTTTTTTTCATTATCCAGGATTTTCAACGTTTTAAATTCAGATGTAACGCCGGAATTTCGGACGTTTAAAATGCCAGAAGCAAAGTGTAGAACATATTGCTTCTCGAGAATTTATGTTCGACGGTGATTGGATTAACGCAAGAATAGAGAACAGCGCATCGATATTTCGACGGTTTGACATGAAAAAATCTCAATGCACAACTACTCCAGACGAAATTCGTAATAGCTCCCACAGTTCCGTCTATCGTTTTCCAAAAGCATTCCTAAGTCCTTTGAGGCAAAAAGACCACGCACTCGGTTCACCGCTAACTCGACTGCATTTTCTTCTGAACCATGGTGGTGTGATCCGCCCCTCTCTCTCTTCCTCTCTGTACCCTTACAGCTCATCGATTTATCCGCCGCATAATTCCCCTTAATCCTTCGATTTCCCGATAAGGAATAAATATTTCCACGCGATTAAACACGTCGTAACCGCATCCAGTATGCGTTTATACGTGAGAATATGTATATACCTTGTCAAAATTTAATGATACACCTATAAATTTATCAGGAGTGGAAAGGATTAAGAGAGGCGCTCGAGACCTTTCCATATTATACGCAAGGATTATCCGCGCGTAACGCGTCTATTGTTAATGAATTTTATTACTCCAATATTGCAGTTACAAATTATTTAAATGCTCATAAAACAATTATTAGGATTACGGCGGTTGAGTGAATAATGAAAAACACGCGGGCAATATAATATTTACAGGATATTTATTGTGTAAGTGGACAAAAGATATTACAGTTTGAACATTTTATCTGGAGCTGTTATCGTTAATTACATTTACTGTTATATCCCTTTAACGAACTCCTTAATTATCGACAATTAAGTACCTAATATTATCATCGATCACGCTCGCCATACGTCACACGTATATTGTTTCTTTCTCAACTTGTATTATTTATTACATCTCTTACTATTTACCATTTATATTTAACTCTTTACCGCGCATTCTATGTGTATGTTACATACAGGATAAATATATATATATATACTCCGCGATATACCAAATATCTCTATATTTTCTATAAAAAAATAACGACAACGATTCTTCATCAAACTGTTTGATGCAGATTACCCTCTTCAAGATTCAATTAAATTATTATATATTTATGTAAATATCCGCAATATTTCATTAATATTTAGAACCTTTGTTTCGGTTGCTCGATTAAATTTCTTTGCACTTTTATAAATAATTTTAATTTTTTTTTTAATCTCTCAGTTTCAAAAGAGAGAGAGAGAGAGAAAGAGAATATAATAAACATTAGATTATATTTGTCACGGCGTTAAAAATACATTTTTGTCGTACGATATGTGGTCTCACAAATTTTTTCTCTCTCACAAGAAAGAATTACGTTTCTCTAAAACACACTCAAGGCTACACATACATTGGTCGTGCATATATTTCCAATTGTAATCAAATATATCTATTTAACATATCTCTATAAAAAAATTCAATCCACAAATAAATATATTTGTTAAATTTATTACACGATTAAATACATTTTTAATTGTAATAGAATTTAAGCGGTAAAGAGTTAACGTTGCAACCTCGATTTAACCCCATTCGATACCGCGCTGTGCGAATATACGCTCTATTCTTAAATCTATAGGATAAAAATAACAGTGTATTTTAATGATAGTTATACTAACGAAAAACAGTTTCATCGTTACATCACGACATGAAACATCGACTGTTCCTTTGACGCTTACCTTAATTTTTTACATGTGTGGCTTTTCTTAACAATTAACTAAAGTTAAAGATACATCTATCGTATATAGCAATTGTCAGTTTCGATATGTGTAACCCAATGGATTTATTTACAATTCTTATAATATTTCAAAGTTATATCGTTTTTTTTTTTCATACAAGAATTGTCATATGCTGCAACTGTATATTTCACGACCAGATTTGCAAAATCGAATTAGCCTAATGCTTTTATGAATTTTTCGATCATTTATCTAATCAACTGATGCATTTTTTAAAATACCAAGAATAGCTCTCATCATGAAATTTGAGAATCCATCAGTACAAGATGCTGTAATTTTTATTTAAGAATGCAGAAGACACGAAAATTATTATAAAGGATTTTTTTGCAGGAATTATTTATATGTATATTTTTGAAAGTTATTTTTAAAAAATTATCTTGCCCATATAACGTAATAAAAATTCTTTATTTTTATAAAGAGTTAAAGCGTTGGTGATGGAACGCAAGAGTGTTAAAAAAATTTTCAAAACTCAATTCCTTGAAAGTTTGTCTAATGGCAAACATATTAATTACGAAATTATTTATTTTCCTTTCAGAGTGTAATGTCACAGGCGTGTGCGTATGTGTATAGAGGATCGAATAATTTCCTTACATTTTCATTCTGATGTTAAGCAGGTGAAGCACTCATTGTGATATAAAATCGATCTGTTTCTCGAACTATTCAAGCTTCCTCAATCTGTTTTTCTACTGAACGAAATGTAAAGCAAACACACACATAAACAAAATAAATGTTAGATTAAAAATAATATTTTAGCACATTAAAAATATTATATATGCAATTGCTTGCAAACTTATTTTTTACTTCATGTTAAAACGTTATGCGATGAATTTGCTGAAAACCTTAAAAGATAAACAGAGCCGACTTTTTCACTGGTAATTCATGAAGCCTTGGTGGATCCCGAGCACTCGAGGACCGTGAAACCCTAGAATTCGCGGATCGTATACAGCAAGAATCTTATATTCTCAGAATCTCTGGTATTTACGTAGAATCGAGAGATCGTACGGCGGAATCGTTAAATCGTCGCGGCGTAGAATCTATCGATCCGTTCGATTCATCCCTCCTCCCGGGTAAAATCCAGATGCCAGAGATTCGGAGAGCGCACTCGGCGAATTCCGCAATCACTTCATCCTCTACCATCCATTTCCATATTATCCCGTTTATCCCGTCCGCTCCCGACGGAGAGACCAAAGCTCAAAACGTTTCCTTCAGTCTCATCACTAAACAAACGAGCTCATCAATAAAGCAACGCGATGATCCCCGCCTTCCCCGTCAAACGATCCGCCGCCGTTTAGCCGTCGTCGCACACACCACCACCATCACCATCACGGTCTGTGAGCTTAGTTTTGCGATTATAAATTATTCATGCAACGTGCGCGACGTGGACCCGTACAACGTGGACGCCCCTACCCGTGATGATAGTAGATCTTGTCCTTGCAGTTGCACGTGGCGCCGCAGAACTTCCGGCGTTCCCGGCCCTCCTTGGTGTCCGTCTCGCACACCCACGAGCCCAACGTCCTGACCAGCTCGGCGCAGTTCGACCACAGATCGACGTGGTAGCAGGCGTTCGTGCAGAGCTTGCCCCGCGTGCAGTGGTCCTTGCACATGCTGCATGGCTTACCGGCCACGTAGGGCAGGCCCAGACGACCCCTATAGTTCCCGCTGCGGAGCAGAAGCACGCCGATTTTATTAGACAGTGTCCGGCTTTAAGGAAGGAAGAGGCCGCACTCAAGAATGACCAAAAAACGATCAAAGTTTTTTCATTTAAAAAAAAATCAATATTTTCGAACTGTTTCAAACTGTACAAGACAATTTTAAAACACATTTGTCTAAATAAAATTGCGAAAAATCGTAATTTAAACGATTTAAATAGACGCGATCGTGATTTAAATATCGCGAAAACATGAATTACACACCAATTTAAAACAATAAAAATCTAAATCTCATTGCGCGACAAAGATCTAAAGTTAACATCATTAGTCTGTCATTCGTTTTGATATATAGACACATACGCGCAAATACAGGCGCACGCGAACATATAGTGTGGAAAAACATTTTTTGTTTCTTCTTTTTTGTGGTAAGTTAAAGTAAACCGCGCATTTTTCTAAAAAATTGTTCTCGTGTGACTCTCAGTTTCTTATTTATTCAATTTTATGATAAGCATCTTTGGTAGCGCTCACAAAATATTTTACAACGATTTCATTCAATTTATAAACACACTACTCGGAAATGCATGTACGTATGTACGTGTGTATGTGTGTATGTGTGTGGGTGTGAGAGAGCCACTTTGTATATATTATCATAAATATACTTTACTTGAATTACAGCAAACAAGGAAAAGTAAAAAAAATCACAGAAAAAATCAAAAGCTGTATAGCTTAAAAAAGTTGGTACTCTTATTAAATCAAGACTCCTCAAATTTTGGGAAAATGTATTATCCTCCTTCAATAAGAAAATTTTCATGCGCGTGCATTTAATTTTTGTAAAGATTAAAACTTTAATAAAGATTAAAATGGCGTGAAAGTTACACGCAGAAAGTTCAGGCCAAGTTTGTTTTAGCAAAACAAGTTTGCCAGATTAAATTTCTCAATTTGAAGCAACAAGTATCCTCGATAATCATATGCCTCAAGAGAAAATAATTTATTAGAAAGCAATTATCAAAAAATAACTATTTATTCCATAATTTGTGTGTGTGCACTCTCATCCAAAAATATAACACTTATTTTTTGCAATTATTTTTGGTACTATTTTATTCACCGTAAAAATATATTTCAATTTTCGATTGTTATTCCGGATTTATTCACGTTTCCCCGACATTGAAATCGTCGCCGTTCTTTTCGGGAAAGCTTTCTCGATATCCGAGACTTAAAATAAATACTGATTCCTCTCCGAGATACATAGCGTAAATAGTTTAGGCGGTATCCATTAGCCGCGCGCATTAACGAAAAGCCTTGGCAAGTACCGTCGAGCAATTTGCAAATGGGCCACCGAATTTACATTCAAAGTATTTTTCGGGACGAAAGCGTCTTAAACGATCGCGCGAGCGTGGGCACCAGCGCGAATTTTCCATCTCCAGGGGCTGCGTTAGTCCGGCGGGGAGGAAGGAAATGCTGTATATCCACGAAATTAATTACGAGATAGGAGTCGGTGCGCGGAAGAGAGAAACGAGATAAAAGGAAGGATAAAGTAGCCGACCGCATCACGCGACACGGTTTATTTATTCAGAACCCGGGCTACCGATGCGGCGGTTTTCGCCACCGCTCCGCTTTTCGCGCGAAATAGGTCAGGCGTCAAATACACCGTGCGAGAATGTGCGGTGTTTAACAAGAAATAGAAATCGACGTCTAAAATGGCATATGAAATGATCTTAAAGGCCGCTCTACTTGTGAGACGCTGAAAATCGACGATTGTGTGACACGGTTCTAAAATTCCGTTTTGCAATAATTCTTGAATCTTGATAGCGTAGTTCATCGTAAAATTCGGAAATAGCATCCTATTTGCAAGGAGCAAGAGTGTCACAGGAGACTGGCAATAAGTTCTCGTAATCTTTTAAATCCCGATATTTTCATTAACCACAAGCCTCGATTTATAGTTTCTCGAAATAAAATCCATTTCTAGTTAAACAACGTTTCATTTTCCATTTTTACTTCCGGAACTCATCAATTTCCCGAAAGCTCTATACGATAATGGATCGGAAATTATTGATGCAACTATACTTTTGTTAATCAAAATTAATTGCAATTTTTTTTTATAAGAAAGAACGTGTAATACGCGCCATGTATCTCTCTCTCTCTCTCTCTCTCTCTCTCTCTCTCTCTTTCTCTGACACATACGCGCAAATACAGGCGCACGCGAACATATAGTGTGGAAAAACATTTTTTGTTTCTTCTTTTTTGTGGTAAGTTAAAGTAAACCGCGCATTTTTCTAAAAAATTGTTCTCGTGTGACTCTCAGTTTCTTATTTATTCAATTTTATGATAAGCATCTTTGGTAGCGCTCACAAAATATTTTACAACGATTTCATTCAATTTATAAACACACTACTCGGAAATGCATGTACGTATGTACGTGTGTATGTGTGTATGTGTGTGGGTGTGAGAGAGCCACTTTGTATATATTATCATAAATATACTTTACTTGAATTACAGCAAACAAGGAAAAGTAAAAAAAATCACAAAAAAAATCAAAAGCTGTATAGCTTAAAAAAGTTGGTACTCTTATTAAATCAAGACTCCTCAAATTTTGGGAAAATGTATTATCCTCCTTCAATAAGAAAATTTTCATGCGCGTGCATTTAATTTTTGTAAAGATTAAAACTTTAATAAAGATTAAAATGGCGTGAAAGTTACACGCAGAAAGTTCAGGCCAAGTTTGTTTTAGCAAAACAAGTTTGCCAGATTAAATTTCTCAATTTGAAGCAACAAGTATCCTCGATAATCATATGCCTCAAGAGAAAATAATTTATTAGAAAGCAATTATCAAAAAATAACTATTTATTCCATAATTTGTGTGTGTGCACTCTCATCCAAAAATATAACACTTATTTTTTGCAATTATTTTTGGTACTATTTTATTCACCGTAAAAATATATTTCAATTTTCGATTGTTATTCCGGATTTATTCACGTTTCCCCGACATTGAAATCGTCGCCGTTCTTTTCGGGAAAGCTTTCTCGATATCCGAGACTTAAAATAAATACTGATTCCTCTCCGAGATACATAGCGTAAATAGTTTAGGCGGTATCCATTAGCCGCGCGCATTAACGAAAAGCCTTGGCAAGTACCGTCGAGCAATTTGCAAATGGGCCACCGAATTTACATTCAAAGTATTTTTCGGGACGAAAGCGTCTTAAACGATCGCGCGAGCGTGGGCACCAGCGCGAATTTTCCATCTCTAGGGGCTGCGTTAGTCCGGCGGGGAGGAAGGAAATGCTGTATATCCACGAAATTAATTACGAGATAGGAGTCGGTGCGCGGAAGAGAGAAACGAGATAAAAGGAAGGATAAAGTAGCCGACCGCATCACGCGACACGGTTTATTTATTCAGAACCCGGGCTACCGATGCGGCGGTTTTCGCCACCGCTCCGCTTTTCGCGCGAAATAGGTCAGGCGTCAAATACACCGTGCGAGAATGTGCGGTGTTTAACAAGAAATAGAAATCGACGTCTAAAATGGCATATGAAATGATCTTAAAAGCCGCTCTACTTGTGAGACGCTGAAATTCGACGATTGTGTGACACGGTTCTAAAATTCCGTTTTGCAATAATTCTTGAATCTTGATAGCGTAGTTCATCGTAAAATTCGGAAATAGCATCCTATTTGCAAGGAGCAAGAGTGTCACAGGAGACTGGCAATAAGTTCTCGTAATCTTTTAAATCCCGATATTTTCATTAACCACAAGCCTCGATTTATAGTTTCTCGAAATAAAATCCATTTCTAGTTAAACAACGTTTCATTTTCCATTTTTACTTCCGGAACTCATCAATTTCCCGAAAGCTCTATACGATAATGGATCGGAAATTATTGATGCAACTATACTTTTGTTAATCAAAATTAATTGCAATTTTTTTTTATAAGAAAGAACGTGTAATACGCGCCATGTATCTCTCTCTCTCTCTCTCTCTCTCTCTCTCTCTCTCTTTCTCTGACATATCTCGTGTATTTATTTTATACGAAGTATAATCATTTGGTTGAGAAATCATTTATTTACGATTTAAAACTGTTTTTCTATTCATTTCGAAAACGCGGATCTCGCGTGTTCGCGGTAGGAAAAATTCACACGATCGTTCTATGCGTTCGTATCTCGTTAATATCTCCGTCTTGTAACGAGAATATATGAAGTTTCCGATGAATACATTGCGCCGATCGCATTAGAACGGATCTCGCGGAAAATTTATCGGGTCCGCGTATTTTGCGGGGGATCGATATATGAGAGGGATATATAGCGTCGCGCGATTTGCAGAAATCCTTAGTTCAGAACTGGGTCGCCGGCATTTTTGTACGGACTACTGCAGGAGCGATAAATTGCGAGTTTTCCCCACCCCCTTTCTCCCCTACGCTTCCCCGAAGATCGAAGCGGATTCTAATTGCGAGAGTCGCTCGCGCGTGAAATGTCGCTGGGAAAATCGTTTATTTATTGTCACTCACTTGGACGACTTACTCGAGAATGCAACAATCCGATTGATATAATTCTCCGCTGTTTCAGCAGATCAATATTCGCACAAATAATTAAAAATGATCGATATTTCTACGATACGCGGAGATGCACGAAAAAAATTTTTTTTTTTTTTGTAGACTAAAATAATTTACTCCCTAATCATCCCGAAATAATTTTTCCAGAGAGAGACATTATATATGAAAAGGCGCTGCAATATATAAACGCTTTCGATTTCCAAAGTAAGAAAAAGATGAAAAATTTTTTTAGCTTTCGTTAAATATATAATCTTACACCTTCGCGTTTATTGAAAGGGATGCAAAATAATTTGAGATGATTGATGATTTTTACCGATTATTAGTTACTTTCCGATTCGATAAACAGTTATCTCCTTTATCAGATCATTTTTTCAACTATCTTGCACGTCTCTCACCCATATATTTCATATACATTAAATCCAAAGATAAACAAGTCGGTTCTTGGCAAGAAAATGTCAGAAACAAAATTCGTATTCGTTTATCGTATGTCATGTATGTTTTGCATTGAACACGCTGTATGTAAATATATATACTTCATCCGGTAGTCTCGTGTACACAACAAAAACCATAAGTATGCTGAGAAAGTATGTCATACCAGTGACAAAGAGAGCCGTCTAAGTGCCACAATGGGCATGACAAAGACGAACGAGCTATAACTCGCACCGACGTTGCATATATTCCGCACCGGTGTGTCGCAGCATTTTCCTTGTTTTCCCTCTCTTATATGCGTTCCTCCTTCGTTTTCTCCCCCGCAAGAGAGGGTTGTACATATGTCTCTCTCACACACATGTAGTATATAAATATAGGATTTACATATTTCAATGCGTCTAGGGGAAGCTTACGTGCCAGTCTCGCGCGCACGAGTTTGCGAACATACATTGGTTATTTTTGCTTTCGTGGAAAAAAGGGTTAAGCTGTATAATCAAGTCCGCGTATATATGGGGTGTCTAAGGAAGGATCACAATATTCGACGAACGTCTTCTCTCGAAAATGTTTTCGACCTACCGAACGCGTTGAGAGAAATACTGCCACCGTATCTCTCTCGTGAATGATAATATTATTTGCTATTTGGAAAGAAAGATCGTATTTTCTCAAACAAGATTCTAGCTACTCTTATGCGTAGTATCTAAAGAAACCAACGGAGAAAAATTTCCAATAATCAAATGACCAAACCTGCCCCTTTTCATAAATATATATCCATTATCAATTTTGTTATTATTGCAACTCTTTTAATAGTAAACCCTTTTTTCTTTATTTTTTTTTTCTCCGATATCTCTCCGACTCGATGCAAATTTTTTGTTCCCTATAAAGATTAGTCCTTTAAGAGAGATAAGGAAAATTTGCAATATTTTAATCTATATGTATATGATGCAAAATAATTACTTGAACGCTAACCGCTGTCAGGTTCGCGATCAAAGTCCTTGTTTAAATGTGGTCGTCGTTGCTAATTAACGTTGCGCAAAGAGCGGATTGTTCGCGTACTTTGAACAAGCTTCCTCTTTCCTTTTCATCTTTCCTCAATCCTTCTTCCTTGTTTATTCCTCTTGTGTCGGTGCTTCGACAATCAAATGGTGCTTTGACCCTCACCCTTCCGACGAGCGAATGTCGATCTAACATAAGTAAGACCCGCTTTGACGTCGGACCGCGCGTGCTACTTTCGCCAAGTTTACGGTTAACCGGTTCAATCCGCGTTTCCCTCTAGCAAATTATTGCGTCAATTCCACGCTAATGAACTAAGTTCTAGCCGTGGCCCAATTGCAATTGCTGTCGCGGAAACGGCCGTGTATCATAACAGCCACGGCAAACGGCATACGTCTCGGCAAAAATAATTACATGGCGTCGCTATCCCGTCGATGTAATCTACGGGTTGCGATTGTAGGAATTCTATTAAAAACGTAGGAACGCTCCGCGTTTTATTTAAATAACGGAATAATTATAACGCGCGTGAATAGGAAAAAAAAAACTCCAATTTTGTAAAAATTTACGGATACAGATGAGACATGCGACAGATACAAAATGAATTGAGATTGTCGAAATAATGAGAGAAGATAATAATATATACACACAGAAAGCCTTATTATTAGCGCTTAATTGCATATTCTTCGGCCAATTTCGAGTCGGTATTTCCTTCACGAAGATCGGGGTCATCAGTATCTATATAACTTCGTAATTAAACCTTGAAAACTTAAATGTTGTTCAAGTAAAATTTACTTAAGATCAAAAGAAGATAATTTTCTTAAGGAATATGATTTTGTTATTTATTCGTATCTCCGAAGCTTAGTTTATGAAAAAGTCTTTATTTTAATATCTTTATTTTCATAATTTTACCATTATATTTTACCATTTATTATTCTTTTATTATTATACATTATTTATTAATTATTAATTTCTTAAAAATGATTAATGTGAATATTTCCGTAAAGAAAAAAATTGACTAAAGAATGTGTATGCCTGCAAATGGACTGTAAATATCCGGAAATCTTTCCTGTTTAATTATATTCGAGAAATGCATGTGATAAGGGCTTGAAATATTTTCTCGTAAGACACGCAAGTCGATTTTCTCGTAAGGCATGCAACACCAAGTTCGCTGTTGAATTTATCACTATGTAAACATTAGCGATTCTTTAATCAGAGGCTCGATAATTATACCTACCTCGGAGCATAATTGCAGACATACATGTAGAAGTCCTTGCCGAGTGGGCCCTTGCCACCGGTGCAGTGGCTCACCCCGCATCCGACCAGATGCGTCGTCGCCCACACCACCTGCGTGTAATGGCCGATCTCGTGGATCTCGTTCGTCGTATTCGGCCCATACTTGAAGTCCTTGTACTCCATGTACCACATTCTGATGGGGAAGTTCCTGGCAACATTCCGACGAGAGAGGCGTGATTCGGCGCGATGAGCGATCCGGAGTTGCGGTCGGATGTTACCCGCGTGCGATGTAAAGCGTGCGGCGGTTGTGATGTTTGTAAAGCTCTTGTCTACACGAGCTGCTACGGATTCTGCGCTAACAGCCCAGCACTGTGGACCGTTGACGCGCGCGTAATCTAATTCTAACTTCCTCGAGACCGAGGAATTAATTATTATTAGCGATAACTCTCATTCCAAAGCACAAAAGGTTGAACTTTCCGACAGCTCAAGGTGTAGTTGTCTTTTGAAACGATCTTAATCGAGTTTATAAAATTGTAAAATTTGAAATTTTTTTATCGTACCTTTAACGGCGAGATTAATGATCATCCCCGAATGATATCTTTTCGAGAAATCAATCTTGACATTAATCTAGATATTATTTTACTCCACTGACATATTATAATGACATATACATATAAGACATATATAAAATAAATAAAAATTAGATATAAAAATATAAAATAAAATTCTTTATTAAATAATTTAATTGCATCTTTAAAAAAAATAAGAAATTCTTATAATTTCAATCTTGATTCTAAATATATCTTAAAATCTTTCGTTTCAACAAAGTAAAAAATGCAACTAATAAAATTGTATAAGAATAATAATTATCAATTATCTCTCTCTTGTAAAAAAATTTATATTTTGATTAAATTTTAAGTTTAATATACTAATAATCTTTGTCGAAGAACAATATAATTTGATTTAATGAAGTCGGCGCGGTTAACTAATTAACGGCAAATGAACCGCTGCATATTTTCACAGAAGAAGGTCTAGCTCAGGAGTCCACCTGAGCAAATATACTGCTGCAAAGCGAGCTTGCTAACTAGAAGTAAACAAGATTTAATAACATCTCACCAGAGTGTACGACCGGTGCTGATGAAAATGTTTTGCCCGCTCTGACCGAAGCCGTCCAGGTATAGGCCGGTCGCGTTGTCGTGCACCAAACCGAGGCAACGATCGGCCCATCTCTGCGCCGCCTTCGCTAAGCCTGAATGCCATTTCTGAAACGAGAAAAGGGAGATACACGCATTATCGGACATGCCTGACTAAACGATGCTACACGGAATGCTCTAGAAATATTACTATCGAGCCAAAATGGGAAAATGTTTTTCTATTAACGTTTTTCAACGCGTTTTCGAATCATAAATTATTGAAAATTTAACTTTTTGGCGCAAATAAAGTAGCGCTAGAAATGAAACATGAACAAAATTGTATCTCTTCAACAAGTGTATTTTTTTAACTGTATATTATATTGTATTTTTATAATACAATTATTACATAAATAATAATCAAATATAAGAGTATAAAACAAAAAAGTTCTTTATTAGATCCTTTAAACTTTTTAAAAAAAAATTTAAGAATTTCTACAATTCCGATCTTGTGTGTGTATTTTTTTATGATTCTGAATATATCTTAAAATTTTACGATAATATTTTAATAATATTAAAAATGCAACTCTAACAAAATTATTAATGTATAAGAATAATAATTATTAACTATCACTCTCTCTCTTTCTCTTTGATACATATATATAGTTTAAATTCATGTATATCTCGATTATAAATTCGAAGTTTAATACATTAATATGTAAAAAATTGATGTAATAAATATATTTACTTAAATTCTAAATAACTGTGATTAAAAATTACAATTTGAAAATTAGTTGTAAATAAATAATTCAGAGATGGATCTTCAAACATTGGTAGAAATATGCACGATATTTTTTATAAAAAAATTTGATGATTGTAAATTTTGGTTAATAAATTCATAATTAAAAGGAGAACCATGTTTTGTGAGAATCTGTATATTATATTACGTCTATATATTATATTGCGGAAAAGCTTGAAATCTAATTAAATACGTGTAATACGAACTACAAGCTGTGTTTACGAGTGGAAGAAGTTTTCTTGCATTTGCAGTAAACTCGCGGTAAAAGTTTCTTGATTTTCTTGCGGCTCTTTAATTGCTCGTTATATGCAAATATCGCGTTTTCGAAGCCATAATATTTGTAGAGGCGTTCTCAGAAGTTTCTCGTGAGAAAACGCTGCGCTTCCTATCTTTTTGCTATTTTTTTTATGTTTCTCTCTACATAAGTTTAATACTGATGGTAGCTGCGTTTATTTCTGCTTAATGAATCGCGCGTGATAGTCGCAATAACTGCGACTACATTACTGGACGTAAAAAAAAAAAAAAAACGATCCCAAAGTTATTCTGCATTCTACGAGCCTATATTAAGCTTAAGAAACTCGGGAGCTACCCGAGCAGGCTTCCTTAATCAGAGGCGCTCCTTGATTTATGCATCTCGAGGCGACTGCTTCCTTGCTCGTTTAAAGTTGACTCTGAATTCTAATCAGTACCGGATGCACAATACATTCTATGAAACACGATATATTTTGAAATTACATTTTTAATTATTTTTGTAGAAAACACATCTTCTTTCATGTATTAATATTATATTTTATCGTCACATATATATATGTATATATTATAAATTATATATGTATATATATTTGTCGGAAAAAATTATTCGGAAATTATTTATTCGTAAATATTAAAAAATCGGAATAGACGATTATTTACGTTGAACAAATCAAGATCACGAATGAATTGATTAATTGTGATTTCTTTCAAAAAATTATAATATTGGGATATTATTTACGTAATAATTAGTTAGTTTATATAAAAACAATTTACTTTAACAAATAGAAAGAAAACGAGAGAATAATGTTATCTGGCTTGGATTTTTTAAACGCTCTACCATTTGTCGATAGAAAGAAATTCCCAATACTACCTAGTCATCCTCTCCTCCGAGAAACAATACATCGCACCTCGGTTTTCGCCAGAGAAACTCCGGATAACAGTCGCATCTCTACGGCGTAACTCCTGCCGAAAGTAGCTTTTACGACGACGTCGCCGGTAGTTTCCGCGGAAAAGAATTTAAGTGGGAAGTCGTGTAACTTATAACCAAGCTGGAGATTGGGCGGCACGAAGAAAACGACAAGAGTGGATGGAGAGGAGACTCAGAGATAGTTCGACCACATAAACACCTGTCCGCAAATACGCACATCGGATCTTCCGATAAAAGAAAATTTCTGCTAAGAGTGAAAACTCGAGAACAAAATTGGTGATTATAAAATAATTTAATATTTTAATGATTATTATTATTATTACGAACAAAAGTCATCGAAAATTATGAATAGCAATTGTGTCACTTTATTTTTTGTATACGTTTTTCTTTTCGCCTTTATATTTTATACTCTGTAACACCGTTTCGTTTCCTTCTTATTTCTAAAGACAATCGGATTTTAATTCATATCTCTATGTGAATTTATTACATTGGATTACTAACTCTGCGGTGAATGTCGCGTTTCCGCTTGTAACATCCCTTGCGCTATGTCCCGACGAGAAACAACGGAAAGCGAGTGATATATAGTGTACACGTTTGCATATATGTTTATATATCGATCGGATAATAACGTCGATACAGGCCGGAAATTGAAATCTTGCGCCGTGCTCGACGGCGAACCTCGAAAATTTAGTTTTCCGATCAAGTAAACCACTACGTAAGGTAAATGTCTGATAAAGTCTGTCATTTTGTGTACATAGCTTTTAACATTCTAACGTCGAGCGTTTATTAAGCAATTTAAATATCTAACAATAAAATTGTGATTATATGATTATATGATTTAGATTGCTTTTTATATATAAATATGTTTTTATATATGTTGTTATACATGTATATATATGATGTGTGTATGTGTAATGTAAAACTTTTACAGAGCATGATTTGCTATTTTAATATTTATTTATGTCCTTTTACAATTAAAATTCTATTATAAATGCATGTTTTATTGCAATTATTTACGATCAAAACATTTTATAGTTAAATAATCTCTTATCAATTATCTGTTATTCTCGAAACATGAGCGCATACTTTATTATTATGTTTTATTATCCGAACAGAGAGAAGAGAGGCATGCGTTATAAACAATAATTGCTGCTGGATTTACCATTCAGTAGTTTTGGTAATTTTCCGGAAAATGCGGAAAATATATATTGTGAAATGAACGAATAACGAGCGCTTTCGCCGCTTAGTTTTAATCAGTCCAATTAACGCGCGCGTATTATCTACCGCAAAGTTGCCGAAAATCCCGAATTAAATCGCATTGTGCCGCAGGCGAAAGTTGAATTATATTTCTCTTGCCGCGTATCTATTTTTTTTTTATATTACTTGCGTTTCCAGAAGAATACCTGCCCATTCGAACAATCGATAATCATTTCCTGAAATGTTATTCGTGTAAATTTCACGAAGAAAATAAGCTGCCCGTTTCTAGTCGATTTGGCGAATTCAGACTTCTAAATTATTCAAATTATATGATTTAAGTTTGTTCCGATTATATAACAAAGCTTCTCAAGAAAATTGCCATCATTTTTTTGTTTCACAATTGAATCATAAGTAATAAGAATGTCGGTATATATTGCTATATATATTTTATATATAAAAAATGACGAATTGTAAAAATATAGTATATAGTATATAGAACAAAATATTACATGCTTCTAACTCAACATTTTATAATATTTTATTTTTATTCTCTCTCAAATATAAATATTTGACAATATTTTTATTTTAATCTGCATTATATACTACAAATTTATTATATAACATTTTTCTAAATTATATTATGTAGAACTGAAGAGAGATTGAAACTGTATCATCATCAAAATTAACCAGACTCAAACGGAAATATCTGTCAGTATCGATATTAAAGTCAACGTAACAGAAAGGCTATCCCCATTTCCGGAAAAAGAGAGAGATACAGGAGCCAGAGAGTTCGGAAGGATTCCATTTTGAAAAGTGACAACGTATTGTCGAAGGTACGCCGAAAGATAGAAATCTGGGAAAAATCGATAGAAAGCGGAACGAGATTCCGCTAGCTCGTATCATTCCCGAATCCTACGCGAAGGAATCCTAAAAGATCCGAGAAAGCTGATTCTCTCAAAAATCCACAAAATCCTCAAAACTTCAAATTTAAAAATAACCTAATTATAATAAAAAATTAAAAAT